AGCCTTGAACTTGCAGCCCTCTGGTTGCAATGTTAGTAGATAGGCCTCTGCACCAGAGAGCCTGGGTTTCATAATGGGAGCAAACCTAGAGCCATGAGCCACAAGATTAAGGAGCTAGAGCCTCCGAGTTGAACCCTATCCAGTGGGTTTAGACTGGTAGGCCTAGCTAGAGAAGGACGGGGGGCAAGGCCCATGGTGGTTGAGAACCCCAACATAGAATTACAATAGGCAGTCTCCCGCTTGTAAGAACACCTGTATAATATTACATCAAGATGTGGCAGATGAGTAAAAGTGGGATATGAGAAGCATTAAGGGACTTCAAGGGTGCCCCTCATAGGCTCCAGATAGCAAACAAAAGAAAAAAATGCCGCTGGGGAGTGCAACCTGTTACAGAGGGAAATAAGAATGAGCAGGGCTATGTATGTCAGGGCATACATTTTTTGTACAATTTTTTGCCAAGATGCACAAAGGGTATACAAAGGATAATATGTATACAAAGGGTAATATCAAGTAGAAGGAAAGAAGTGATCTTGTGTCAGTACACAGCATTGGTAGGACCACTAGTAGAATAAAGTGTCCAGCTCTGTTGCCCACAGGTCAAGGAAGATGTTGAGAAAGTTAAAAGTGGGGAGGAGGGGAGAGAAGCCTTCTACATTTTGGGTGAAAAAAGTCTTAAAATGTAGATCTTAAGAAGATCAGGTGATTCAGATCATGGAACATAAGGTTGACAAGTGACTTGATTACCGTGTATTGGTACTTACACATGGCAAAGATATCCCTTGTCTTGCTGACAAGAGCATGACAAGACCTGTTGGCTCTTGAGATTGAACATAGACAAATTCAGCCCTAAAATTCAATATGCAATTTCTTTGCTGTGAGATGAATCAAACATTGGAACAGTTTACTAAGGAAGATGGCAGGCTCAGCAGGGAAGAAAATTTTAAAAAGAAGATTAGATAACGACCTTAAATATATAACTCGTGGTTGGCTGGCTGGTTGTAGGGGTACTTTCCAGTCTTGGCTCCATGGACCCCCCTGTTCACCTCTGTCCTTCAAGGGCCATGGAAAGAACAGGATTACCTGCATTGCCTTTATCATGCTCATGACCCTTGCAGTTCTACATTGAGATATTAGCTATAACTAGAAGAATTTATCTTTAGGAAGAACTTTTTTGCATGATACACAATTGGCCAGATTCATTCTGGTTGTTGCCAATGCCTTCCTCTAAAGTATCAGCAAATGGCAGCAGCTAGAGAGAGGTCACTGGATTACTGGACCAGTAATCTTTGGTGAAATAGAAGATCCCCTTCCTTAGATGCCTGCCTTCAGTTTCTTGCTCAAACTGATTTGGGATCCAAAGGGGGTTTTTCCCCAGGTCAGACTGTCTGGGACATTGAATTTGTGTCCTTTCTCTGCAGCTACAGCAAAGTACATGGATGGGCTGTTAGGATTGTCTATGCACATCGACATCTTTCCATGCTACGCAGAGTTCTTGGCTATTGGTGCCACCCTGTTCCCTGCTTTTCTATGCTTCTTTAGTCTCCTGAATGCTAAAATGCTTCAGTTTGTTAAGTTATTGGCCTCAGTTATTGGGCTGTGGATGCAATGTTATGGCCTGTGATGTACTAGATCTAATAGTCCCTTCTGGGATTTACCTCTGTAAAGCTACGAAGCACTTGAAGTTCATCTACATTTTATAATGATGCTAATGCCAGCATCAGCTGTACATTTCTGTATTCATGTAGAGCAAAACAAACACTTAGGAAAGACCTGAGGACATACAGGAAGCCTAAAGTACAAGCATTTAAAACCAAATCTTACTTTTCCATCTAGGATTGCTATTTTCACAATTAAGAGTGTCCTCAACTGGCTGTTGGTGTTGCCTATTACATACAGCTATTGACTATTCACTTCCTTGTAGCCTAGTATCCATAGAAACAGTGGTCCTTACTCATACAGGATCATCACAAATCTAGACCGCACTGATTTAAAAGTACCAATGGCATACTGAAGACACTCACCAAAGGCTTTTTGAGAATGCACTCAATACTTACCTGATGATGGACATTAAGAACAAACCAGAATGGACCCAGGGAGTCTGGCATTCATATGATGCTCTACAGACTAGGGAACCTGACACTTCTTCCTACTAACACTGCCTTGTGTTTCTGGCTTAATATGCAGCTTGGAGGCTGCTGTTCTGGATGCTTTCCTGAAGGAAAGACCAATTTCAATGGTCTACTGACATTTGAATTTATACTATTTTGAATGCAAAATAGATACTAAATTCAAGATTCTGGAAAAGCAGATAAAACATTAAAAATACTTTAACAATTATCAGACACATGAGATGCATGTATAATATAACTATTTGATAAGAGGTAATCTGATACATTCTATTACAATATATAAGGTGCTACCAGAAAATAAATCACGACAAAACAATTAGTCTCATTTCTAGTATGAAATGCAGTTTGTAGCATATTAAAATTCCGACAGCCTCCATCTGTTTCAACGATGCTGCCTTATAATTTAATTACACAAGGTATCCATGCCTGAGTCATTAACAGCATTATGAATAATGGGATTCATTAGCGGTGGCCTACATGTGCTGTTTGTTTCTATTTTTTTTTCCCAGAGATATATCAGTTACTTGGAAAGACTTCTATTTGGATCCTCTCCATCTGGGTTATTTCAATATAATTGCTGTATGTAGAATGGTTTCATTTTCCTTATTCTGTGAGTTTAGTAAAGTGTGCTGGCCTCTTGCTCTGAGGATGGGGGCAGCTCTGTGAGCACATAGGTGGACACATCATTACACTGTCAAAGCTGAGTTATAGTTCTTCCATGCAAACCTGACTGTTTACAGCCTCAAATAAAGTGCAGCAGGTCTTCTTCTGCCAGTGGATCCATTACATGAAGTAGAGTCGTTGTGATCAGCGACCATAATGTCTTGAACTTCCAACACCTATAATGTGATTAAATGTCATTACTGGCTATGTATTATTCACTAGGGCTGTACAAAATGGCACTGTTCCATTTGCCTTGAGTTTTGATGGTTTGACAAAACAGCATTCCGTTTTGATATTTTATTTTGAGTCGAAACAGCTGTTCCATTCCATTTAATCAGAACTGCAGCTGGAGTACTGCGTCCAGTTCTGGGTGTAGCACTTCAGGACGGATGTGGACAACATGGAGAGGGTCCA